CCTAGAACAGATAATGGATGTCTATTCTATTAACATTTCTCTATGTTGGCTTCTCCATTCAGAGGGGCCCCTGCCTGTCTAGGGCCCCAGATTTCCTAAATCGTCCCCTGATGGGAGCAGTGAGGGAGGACAGGTCTCAGTCATTCTCCCTGCAGGTGAAGCAGGTTTAGTGACTCTGACTCAGCAGACCGTGGATCTCCTCCCTCAGATCAGTCACGTCTGCAGGGATCCAGTCCCCGCGTGGATCAGGACCAGCCTCCGTCACGCTCCGTGACATTTACCTGCTCATTCCACCTGATCCCTGCAGGAGGAGGAGCTGAAAGGAGGGGAGGATTGCGTAATGAGCTCAGTCCCCCGCAGCAGCCAATCAGAGGCCGCGTCGCTCCGTGAAAACAAAGCGCACATGGCTCACGGCGCCGCTCCATGTGAACACGCACAGTCACGCAGATCTCGCACACCCGGACCGTCCGCCACAAACCGAGCGCGCTGCCGTCATCATGCCCCACTTCCCGTAAACACGAACCCATTCACGGTGGCGGTCCGCGTGACAGACCGGCCGACATGTGCGCGCAGCACCAGGGCCAGCTGGTGGACCGGAACCAGACCGGAACCAGAACCGAACAGTTTAAATCTGACTGGACCGAAGCCCCCCCGGCTCCACTCAGAAACACAAACCAACCGTCACGGACACGCGAAAAAACCGGCTCCATTAAGACACATTAAACACTGTGCGCGCGCATGGTTCCCCATCATATCCCAGCAAACCAGACTGAAGATTATCTACCTGAGTTATTGTTGTTGTTGGAGTCCATGGCGGCGGTCCACTGCAGTACAGTCACGCACACGCGCTCTCGGTCCAGTACACCTGCCGCCGCGTGAACATCCCAGCTAGTGAGAGAGAAGTTAAAGGAGAGAAGGCCGGTAGGAGGAGGGAGGCTCTGCTGCTCCTGCTGCTGCTGCTGCTCTCTGTCTGATGCTGCTCTCACTTCAAACTGCGCGCAGACCCAACAGCATCATCATCATGCTGAGGGACGCTGCTGCCGCACGCGGCAGAAAACGGGACCACGTGACCATGAGTGCCTCGTGCCCCAGTGACACACTTTTCTGCCCCTCCTTGCACGTGGAGTCGCAGAAACCACTGCCTCGTTGCAGACAGAGAGGGATTGTGGGATATGTAGTCTGTTTGTGTTGAAAGCTTGATTGTATATCAAGCAGCACTGAATCTGATCAGTACGGAAGAGGATTAGGGCCACTGAAAAAAAAAGTTAACTGATTTTTAAATTTTATTTCAGTTTAACATGGGAAAAAAGTCAGAATTCTGACTTTAATCTCAGAATTCTGACTTTTTTTCTCAGAATTCTGACTTTTTTTCACAGAATTCTGACTTTAATCTCAGAATTCTGACTTTTTTTCTCAGAATTCTGAATTTAATCTAACTTTTTTTTTCAATGGCCCTAATTCTCTTCCGTAGATCAGCTCTGCAGTTTTAGCTATAATAGATTTTATTGATCTTTAGCGTGGGGCGGGGTCCGTGGTGACCCCCACCCCCGGAGAGCCATGGAGATAGCCCACGGATTTAAATTTTGGCTTAATTCAAAAATAAGAAAAATGTAGATCCTTCCTGCAAATGCTATCTACTCTTCCTTCACCTTCCAGGATCCCCAGGCAGGACCGGAAATCTGACACACTTAATATTATCAGCGTTCTGATGTCATTTTAGCCAAAGGATTTTCATCAAAAACATAATTAATGTGCACAAATAAGGAATTGTTCTAACCATACATGCAAACCAGTTGCAGGTGGCCAATAGAGGGCACTAGGGCACCGCCCAGCCAGCTAATGACCCTGATTAAGGCATAAAAAAATAAATAAATATATATATATATTTATATATTTTTTTTAATTTAATTTCAAATTAAATTAGAAAAAAAAGTAAATATTTCAAAATATATTGTGCAAGATAAATATTTAATCTTTAATGACTAGTAAAGCGTCATTCCATTTTTAATCGGATTGGTGACATTTTTCTGCCCTGGGTGAGAAAATCTCTAGTAAATAATTTGCTCCCAGAAAAGAACCGGTAGGGAAGTTCTGAGGTGCAGCCGCTTTCTGGGGGACATAACTTCCAGGTTTAACAGCCCATTGACTCTCATTAAAAGTTATACATGTGCAGTAGCTCCCCTGAAATACAGAAGGACAGGTGAGCTCTGTGCCCCGAGGTGACAGGAAGTATATTTGCTCACCACCTCCCCCCACAGTGCTGATGTTTTGCGGGTGATTGACAGGTCAAATCGCAGGAGTTGGAAATGCATTGGATAGAGAGAGAAATGGTGCAAAAAACCAGGGCCTGTTTAGCTCCAAGGCTAGGCTAACTGCATGCAGCAAGGCTAGGCTAACTGCATGCAGCAAGGCTAACTGCATGCAGCGAGGCTAACTGCATGCAGCGAGGCTAGGCTAACTGCATGCAGCGAGGCTAACTGCATGCAGCAAGGCTAGGCTAACTGCATGCAGCGAGGCTAACTGCATGCAGCAAGGCTAGGCTAACTGCATGCAGCAAGGCTAGGCTAAC